AGCAAAAATGCACACCAATTAAAATCTGGGGTCTCAGGAGGTTAAAGGGTTCCTGCCTCAATGAGCAGCTTCACTTTTAACCCTTTAAAGCCCGATCCAAGAAAAATAGGAAGAATATCCTCCTGAGACCCGGCCCATTCATTTGTGTCCATTATAGTGGACATTTTGTCCACCTGTACCCCCCCTAAGTATCTGGAGTTACCCTATCAGCCCTATAGTGTTCTGTAGAGGACATCCTGGGCTTTCCAGTGATGTGCCATGTGATAGCTTTGCATGCTGGGAACTTTACTTTTTTCCTAAGAGTTCTTAGGTAAATATCCCGTTCAAGACATCTTATTTTTTATTATTTAATTATCTAAAGCCTGTTCTATTTTCCCATGCAAATCGTCCTGTTGTCCTCCACAGTGGACATGCTATGAAATTAAAATTAAAAATATTTTTTAATTTAAATTGTAATGTTGATTTTTTAGGTCGAAATACATGGAAAATCACAACAAAAAATCAATTTGAAGACACTTTTTTCTTTGGGTCTCAGGAGGATATTGGATTTTTTTAGTCTGAAGTCTTTCTTTGGCCCCTCAACAACACATGAAGAAAAAAAAAACAGAAATGATTTTGATCATATTAGCGTGCAATAAGTCAAAAATCTATGTTGGTGTAGTCTTCTACTGGCTGTTATCAGGTATATCTGAATGTGTACAACAGGGGTTTGAGCAAAGCTTTTACCACTGAATGATGCAAAAAGTCTCAGATCCAAAAGAAACCGGATCAGATATGACACATTTGGCATTATAGGGTTAAGATAAGACAAGATAAGATAAGCTTTATTGATCTCACAGTGGGCTTAGTTATTAAAAAAGGTGCACACAAGGAGGAAAAGGTAAAGCCTAAAGTATAAACAAGCCCTGTATAAACAATCTATCAAGAATAAGAATAAAGGTGCAAGTGTACATGCATCACACAAAATAAAATAAAGAATAAGAAATAAAAATACAAGGGAGTAACACAGAGATTTTATGGCGTCGGACAAGCTGGGGAGAGCTCAATTACGTGTAGAATTAGAAATTAAATGTTCTTTTTTAATGTTTAAAAGGGTTTCAATCTATCAGAGGTCGTGTTTTAAAGTATTTTCCTCGGTGGGAAATCCTCCATATCTCGTATGAGGTCACAGTAAAGAAAATATTCAGTCCAGAAATGTGTAAATAAACTAAAAGAAAACAGATAAAACTCGGAAATTAAGAGTTTAAGGTTGGGTTCCGTAAAAAGATGCTGCCTGTGAGCAGCATGGAGGGAAAAAATGGCCTAAGTTTGACTTTAAACCATCAGAAAAGGAGAAAAAAGTGATGTCAAACGGAGGCGTAGTTACTGTGGAAATGTGTTCCCTGTAAAGATCTGCATCTGGATCAAAGAAGTCAACTATTCACAGAGAAATGGAACCATCAAGACTTGTGTTGAAAACAGTTAATTGACTAAATAAAATACATTTTGATAAAGGAAATGCAGTTCTGTGTCGACAGTCAAGCAAAAAAAAAACCACAGGGAGGCCATTAGCTTCCCTCCATCCATCATATTCTCTCTGCTAGAGGTCAGGTTGAAGGATTTGATTCAAATCGGACATATTAAACGATTGCTCAAAGGTTTGGAAATGAGATCTATGGTTTGTAACTGTTTTATGAATTTCTAATTATAGTTACAGTCAGGGAAATAAGTATTTGACCCCTTGCTGATTTTGCAGGTTTGCCCACTTACAAAGAATGCTTATTTTTCCTCACCAGATGGTTATCAATTTTTATAAATTCATATGAAGTGATTTTCTGGAATTTTCTTTGGGATTCTGTCTTTCACTGTTAGAATGTACATATGATTAAAGTTATAGATCGTTGCATTCTTTGTAAGTGGGCAAACCTGCAAAATCAGCAAGGGGTCAAATACTTATTTCCCCCACTGTAGGTTATCATATCAAATGGAGGACGCCTGTACTCCACGTTCTTTTCGTATCTATCATTCTAAACCTCTTGTTATCAGAACATTATGAACTTTCGTTGTGTGGGAATGAATACCAAATGTGCTTGTGTAAGCAGATTTGGAGAAGACCAAGATACCACGATAAGGAGCTGGGACATAATGTTGGATATAATGCAACATTAAGCTACACCTGCGTGCAACCTGTGTGCTCTCCTCCCTTAGAGCAGTGTTTTTCAACCCCTGTGCCTCGGTACACTAGTGTGCCGTTAGTGATGGCCAGGTGTGCCGTAGAAAATCATCCTATTTCACCTAATTGGTCTAAAAAGACTTTTTGATAAGGAATTAATTATCTGTAAATAATATTCCATTTTTGAGTGTCTGTGCTGTTCTAGTGACTGGTGGAGTAATCATGTAATAATTCCTTATGACTAGATTTTGTATTTAATTTTGTATATTGAAGTGGACATGTTAAGAGCAATTTGAAAGAAGAAATATAAAATATGATAAAAATACATTTTTGTGATTAATTGATTCCTATTCAAGACACTTAAGATAAGAGAAGAATAAGATAAAAATAACTATAGTGTTACTATAGGCGGCTACAGATTTGTTTGACATTTTTGGTTGGTGGTGTGCCTCGTGATTTTTTCAATGAAAAACTGTACCGTGGCTCAAAAAAGGTTGAAAAACACTGGCTTAGAGGCTGCATGCCCATGTAACGTAGGGAACGGTCCTTAATAAAGAAAGCGGAGGCAGCCAGAGTATGGTGGAGATTGTAAAGGCCCCTTGCAACTCTAAAGAGTAACGTCTGTGAGTCTGTTTTCTCCTACATTGTGTTTTTAATAAAGTTTTGGATTTAATCCTGACAGACAGTCCTGTGGGGCCTGGCTGGGTTCTGACCGAGTTAGAGCTGAACTCAGAGGGAATCAGACAACCTAATCCCTGCTTTTCGGTTCAGCTGCACTAAGGCTGGAGGGGCGCATTTCCTGGTCTATTAAAAACTAACTTTTTAGCCACTATGACCAGAGAACTGGATCAGAGCACCTGAAAACACTGCTGCAACTTTAACGGTTTAAATGCGTCAGAATAAAAGTAATATGAGACACGGGTCTGTTTCCCATCCCGACTCTCAGAACTAAACAGAAAACTGAACTAATATAAGAATCCAGGTGAAGGTCGGTTGGTTTCCTATTAGTTTTTTTAATGCGTTGGAATTAGGATAAACTGGACTCGACTGGGCTTGAACTGGACTTCACGTCTGAAGTGCACAGAGAGGAAATTTGCCCAGATGAAGAGCTTTAAAAATCAAACTGAAAGAATGAAGGTTCATCGAGGCCCTCGCACTGAGACGAGGCAACTTTTGACCCCAAATACATTCAAAGTTACCAGAGCTGAAAAAAAAAGACACTTTTTCTGTTATTTTACGGTCATTTTACCCTGGGACTCAGATCTCTGTGCACTAGGACGTCTGTACGTTAGGTCTCCCGCATCAAAAACATCTGGATTTTAGGCTTTATTCACTGTCACTTCTGCTGCTTTTCTCCAACAGAAACAGAAGTAACACTTTATGACAACCAAAAATGAAACAGAAACACTGCATTCAAAATCTTTCTAAGGAGATTCTAAATGTGGATGATGATGACTGCCGTTAGGTGTTTAACTCATTGGCTGCCAAAGACGTCTATAGAGGTCTTTTATGTTTTTCAACGAGAGTGTCTGGGGGACGATCTGCTAAAGCTTGTCCGTAAATATCGGCTTCTAGACAGAGTATGTAGTAACAAATTGACCCTCTAGGGGGCAGTGCCACTTTTGATGGGAGATGAGCATAGACTGTAGGCAAATACGAAAAAGCTAACGGTTCGCTATGAGAGAACATGTCGCCGGTGAGACGCAAGTCCAGGAAGAACGGATTAAGGTAGAAACACATTTTTTTTCCTGATGAAAGAAGAGAGTCTACTCTTTCTTTTGGTGTGTTCGGTGTTCACATAGTCATAGCACAAACTATTCTGTGGCTCTTGAAAAATCAGTCAAAATGCTCAAAAAACTCTGGCAGTGTGGGACTCTGTTCTGAAAATGGGTGGCAGCCAATGAGTTAACAAACATTATGTAAACTGCAAAAAAACTTTAAAAACACAGAAATTATTCCTATAAAAAGAAGCTGGAAACGCACAGGAGAAATCATGGAGACAGCAGCAAACGGCCCCCTAGGAGCACCCCCTGGCCACAGAGCTGGTCCCTCGTCTCTTCACCCCTTTTTTTTTTCACTTTTTTGGCTATTCACATTGAGTGTGTACCTGTACTTAATCTGTATTTTTTGTATTTTTTTTGCATTTTGCTCTCTGTGTGCCACTTTTTTTCTGTCCTGTAAGCTGCTGGGAACTTTCATCTCCTAAGAGAGTCTTCCCAAGGTATCTGTTGGAGCTATTTATTCTTTATTTCTTTATTCATTTGAATTTTGTTAGTTAATTCTTAAATGTATATTTTTTGTATTATTTACAGTATTTATTTGCAGGTTAATAATTGTTGATTCTATTTAATTTCTTGTCTTATTATTTTTCTTATTCATTCTTTGAGTAAGACAGGAAGTGGGTCATGTGGGTCAGTCCACTTTCCTATAAGTATAGGGGCCTGGTAAAGGACCAGCAAGGCATTTGGGTTTGGGGCCTATGGTTTTTACCAGAGCAAGAGAACAGAGCAAAATAACAGAGCAAAGAACAAAGGAAAGTTTGAACTCTGTAATTGTTGCTAGAAAGAACCA